GGCCAGATAAATTGCACTTTGGCCGAAACTAACCGATATTAGTGGCTGTGATAGTGTACGTTCAGACCTAAAAAAAAACTTACGACAAGAGATGAGCAGAATGCGGAAATGGTAGAATGAGCAGTAGCTTAGAAGCAGTAAACGGCACTACCGATTCTGCTGGGAAGTAGAACCTCGTATTTGCTTCAAAAATAAGGATGTCTTCACAAATAGGATTTCCCTGTGCTTCTGCCGATGGCCTCCCTCTTCTTAGAAATAAAGGAAGTGTAGGTCTTGACTCAATTACTCATGATAGTTAGTGAAAAACGTATTTCAAATGATAATTGCTGAAAAACAATGACACAGCATGAATAACGACTACCTATCAATATGAGGCGACAGCGTCGATTTCCTAGCATAGAAATTGATGATTGTAGCATCGGCGGACATCGGCCCTAAGCCGAGCGCTTGCGACAAAACATCGGCCAACAAAGACAACTCTTCTGGCAACGGCTCACCTGAAAAAGTTTTTCATTTTTAATACCAGGGCTGCCGGGCAATCGATGTGGAATTCCTCCATTAGGTGTCTTAGAGGCACTCCCAGAGCACCAGCGAAGCCACATCAAGTAATTCCTGTTAGATATGTCTGCGTCGTATTCTCGGAGATCGCCCTCATGCTTAATTTTGTGGAAATCTGCTTCCAGGATTTCCGATCCTCGTCCCTGATGTGCAGATGGGAAATTATTAGACAGTGATCAAAACAGAGCAGCGTATATAAACCGAAGATACACTTTATCCCAGCCAAGTCACGGTGGCATCAAAGCCTGGTAATAATGCGATACGACCTTGTAATTACACAAAAAACTACTGGAATTTGTAAAATTTATTGGTAAATCCAAAGCAAATGTGTAAAAGGATACTTTAGATATTTGCTTTTTACATTTTGGATGGACCAATACACTTACCCTTGGAGGGATATAATTTTGTTGTCCAATCATAATGAAGGCCGAGTGTGCACCAGCGCAACTGTTCCACATATTTCTCGAAGATCTGCAATGCAACTGAAATTAAAAAAAAACTTTAAAACTGTGTAATTATTCGATGGTCCTGGAGCAGTACAACACAGAAAAAGCAGAAAAGGGAAG